GGGCCCGGCCTGCAGCCGCAGAGCGCGCCCCGCTGCCCCAGGCCTCGCCTCGCCTCACCCCAGGCAGCTGTGGGGATGGAGGCGGGACGTTCCCTTCCCGGCGCCCTGTCGAGGCTTTTCCCGCGTGTGCCGGGCAAAGCCGGTCCTTCGGTGTAGGGCGTTGAAGAGTGTTGGCTGAGACTGGCGGGGGCAAAGGAAGAGCATGGTTATGATTACCATCTTGCCTGTATTAATTAATTGTCAGGCTTTCTACTAACCAGCAATTTAAAAAGAACTTACATATATGTTCACATAGCTCCTGTCATGCGTTTTCCCAGGCATAAGAGAAAGATGAGAAGTTAATCCACTGCAAAAGCTTTAAAACAACGAAGTTGTGTGGTTGAGGCATTACCGTTACCAGTCAGTTACATCAGTGGCAGTACAAATATCAGTGTTTGCACTCTGGGAATGGTAGCAGATTTCTGCAATGAGGATGGGACATAGGTGATTCCCAGATGTAGAATGGCAGGTTGAAGCAGTTTCATGCACAGACCATGTTCACAGACCAAAGCAGAGAGCACCTGGAGATTGACAGGGAAGGACTAGCTGCTCTTCTTTTCATCTCTTTTTATAATGTTCTCAAATTTTATGATGGTTTAATAGTATGAAACATCAAGAATTTTTTTAATGCTGTCTCTCTAGTTTTTTAAGACACATGTTCCCTGGCATTGTTTTTTCATCTTATGGCCCCCTTTTTCAGGATTTTCTGAAAGCCAAGATTTAAACAACTGGCTTTCTATTTTAGGTTTCTAAATAAAATACCCTAAAAGACTAATTTTTCTTTGAAGGGCTGATTTTTGTCAAAGGAGTGGAGCCTGGTGTGCATTTTGAGTCGAGGGGCCAAGGGTCAAAATAATGAATTGTTCTGAAAAACTGGTAAGAGTATGTAAAATTGTGAACTTTAGTCCATAAAAATTTAAGATGTTTTCTGTACCTTCATTTGCACCTAGTTGTACAAATTTAAAAAAAAATAGATCTTGCATTTTTGTAAAATACACTTCAACCACAGTATAATTCTGTAAGTCTCTGATGGCAGTAAAATATGGTTCTGTTTTCAGATATTTCACACATTCATTTAAGTGAATGTTTGGGTAGGAAGATGCATTGCTTGTATGTGTCCATTTAGGAGTCAAACTGCAGAATAATGAATTAAAGTGACTGACATCATGACAACCGTAAGACAGAGAAGGGTTGCAAAAGGCACAGAAGCAGCTGAAGATCAGCCTTCAGAGGAGAAGAATGTGAAGCCTGATGGGAAAATTCTGTCTGGTGGGTAATGAAAAGGATTTTAACATTATGGTTTTTTAGCAGCGTTTAGCTTTTCGTATCTATCCTAAGCACAGGTTAGAACTAGGTATGTACCAAATACATTTTCATACTTGAATATCTGTCACCAAAGTTAATTGGATGAGACAGAGGGCATTCAGATTAGTGCAAGTAAATCTCGCTTCTATTTTTAAAATCCTAATTTAAATTGGTGAGAACAATTATTTTCAATTTAGTTGCAGTGGTACACTCTCAGATTTTGTATAGCCATCGTAGGTTCTTAAACAAATCCCAGTTCAGATCATTGGTAGCATAAAAGGATTTGAAGACCTCTGATGAGTTGTATTTGAATATAAGCCGATTGCACATGAAATCTGAATTTAACTGTGAACTCTTGCTTTTTGACTATAGGATGGACCAGCTAGGTAAATTTAAAAGAGAGACATTAAGTGTCTTAATTTGAAGATCTGTTTAAGTAATAAAATACTGACAACATTTTTGTTTGGCATTACAGCTTTGGACTTTGCAAAGTTTGTTGAGTTTGTTTTTTTAATTATTTTAAGGGATGTTTTGGTCTAAATTCCAAATGTTTCTGTATAGGCATTCTCAGTAAATGAAAGGAAAGTTACATTGTTGTTTCCACACAAGTACACTTAGACTAAATACAAAATGGGAAAGTGATCATAGTCCTCATCCAGCCCAGCCCTCGGTTCTGTTGAATTGCATATTTAGTACCTGTTATGTAGATGTCACACACGGTTTGAAACAACCATTTCAAAGCTATAATTCCAGATCATGAAGATCCATACTGAGCCTTATATCACTATTTTTAAAAAAGCAAAGACAACAAAAAACCCCAACCTTAAAAAATACAGGAACGTAAATGTACAATAAACTGACTGAGCTACCTAGAAACGCAGCCTTTCTTTCCTGTTGTTCCACTTACAGTCTTTTCCTGATGTCAACAGGAGGTCTTCTGCGATTCAAAGCACAACACCATTATCAAAGGCTGCTATGGCCACTGTTCTTTGTGGGTGTTTAGGGAGACTTCTGAACCTTGAGTGGTTTGGTTTTCTTACAAAACTCAAGCAAACCCCCCAAAAACAGGCAGCCATTTTAAGATGGTTGAAGAAGATTTTACTTTCTTACTTTGTGATCTAATAGTCATCCTGTATTCCCTTAATTACAAAAGATGGAGGATACTCCAATTTAGATTTACGAATTAGATATGATATTTACCTAGATCCTTATAGGATCATGATGTTCTTAAACTATAACTACATTTACCAGTTAAGGCACACTGTGCCTCACTGCCTATAAATAAAATCCTCTGAGTTTGCTATATGAGAAAATACAAAACACATATCCATAAAGACATCTTAAAACCAAGTGTCCTGTTACCTACAGAATGTAAACTGTACTAGCACAGGCAATGTATAAATGGATTTCCAGAACTCCTTCAAGTTTAATTACATGTTTCACAATTACAGAGTGAAATATTTTCCTTCCAAGATCATACAGGTGGAAAGCTGTGGAGCATACTCTCAGTAACTGTTGGTGGAATTGTTGCCATCTCTCTTGGACTCCTTACTTCTGTTTATGTTGCTACACTGCATGAAAATGACCTGTGGTTTTCCAATATTAAGGTAACAGTAATTCTTGTAGTTTCTTCAGTGCTTTCATAGAGCATTAATATGAGTGTTAGTTGAAATTTCATTTATTTATGTATTTGTCTTGTAGTTTCCTCAAAAACATAGAATATTTCATTTTTTAAAAAATTAACTTAAAAAAGCTGTGCTTTCCATCACTTCTTAAATACTTGGTCATTTCATTAAGTGCCTTTCCTCAGTTTTTCTCCAAAAGTGTTGCTACACAGCAACAGTGTTGCTACACAGTTCTTCCAACCATTGATCATTATCTAGAATTGAATTTCAATAGTTTACTCTGTATTGCTCTATAGTCATCTTTCTTTTATCCAAAGCAATACAAAACCAAACAATAAACAGTTAAAATAAACAATTTGCAAAATCCTGGCATACAGTTCTTTAATTGTATTTATACTGTGATCTTGTAATACAGTTTAGGCACAGTCTCTTACTGTTCAATACTGATTTTGTATGATGTTATCCTAAATATGCAAACCTCAAAACGTGTTTCAGACATTCACCGGTGTAAAACCACCATCTACACCGTAGGAGAATTTTCGTTCCCAAGATCCAAGACTGACTAGTTTTCCCCTAGAATAATTGCATGAAAAAATAATGCAGCTGTACACATATCTAAATTTAACCAAAGAAAAGAAACAGGTGAGTCATTTTCCTTTTAGATACCTAAAATATACTGTTACGTCTATATATTCCATTATTCAAAGAGTACATATATTTAATTTGAATACTTGCATTGCGATATATGTCTTTCCTTTACTACACACTTCTTCTGTACCAGAAGCATTTACATACCCATAATAAAAATAGTTGGCACTTACTTGCTGTTGTATTATACATATAATACTGCTTTGTACCCACTGTCATTTTTCTTTGAACATATAGATAGATTGCATATATATTGAAGGTACACAAATTTTCCCTCCAAAAACAAGTATTAATTCCACAAGTATCGTATATTTTGAAGTACGAACAAGCATGGACTTGTGACAATGTATGAACATAATAGATACAGCATTTCTGTCCTGTTGAACTGATAGTGAGGCACACAAAACTCACTGAGAGAAGCAAGTCTGTAGTTGTAATTAAGTTGCCCCTCGATGGATGAAATGCTCATTTTACTTGGTAACTGTTGCTGTCATTTTAAGTACACTAGGATGTCATTAGATAGCAAAACTGTAATGAAATGCTCTAGATATTTTTGGTCTGGATTCTGTTGTCTCTGTAGCTCTCATTTCGTCCTAAGCAGTTGATAACAATAACTAGTAACACTGGAACATGAGCAATTTCAGCCAATCTGATGGAAAGATTCTAAAAAGCATAAATTCATCTACCAGCAGTTTAAAGGAGAAAGAGATGCCCATGTTTACTGATCTCACATTATACCCTCTTCAGTACCATGTGAACTCCACCAGAGAATGTATGTGGTTACAGTGCTCATTTCAAAATTATAACAGTAGGAAAAGCTTTAATGAGATTTCATGTATTATTCGAGGTAAAATAACCAGTTGTAACACAGAGCCAAAAGTGATCAGGCTTCGTACATACTCCTGCTTTTTAGAGCTATGTGTTTAGTGAGTGTGTGTTTTGCATGTATATACCTTCAACTTACATTGTTTCTAGGAATATCTTCCCAAATAGAAGGCTATAGCTTTACATTTGTCTGATCAATCAAGTTAATTTCTTTTTTAAACACTTATGTCCCAAGTGAGTTTCAAAGGTACTTTAAAAGATTTGCTCTCAAATTATTTATTACAGCTTTAGACCAAACAGGTAGTGTCCCCTGCAGTTTATTTGCAGATACAAAGAGGGTTGGGGATGAGTCAAGACTGATCAAGTGTTCTGCAGTTGTCTGCCAAGTCAGCATCTGACTGTGCTTTCACTTTGATTAACACAAAGCTTTCTAAGGCTTTACTGTTAAGTATTGTCTAGACTTACTTTCTTGCCATGATCCATATCAGAGTGTTTTGTGGCCATAAGTGAGACTAGGAAGATAAGAAATCTAAGTTGTGTGTTTTGATACACTTTCTCTTTGCTCAGCAGAGAAGGAATACATTTGAATATATGTGGATGAGGTAAAGTTTAAACAAAATTCTGGTTTATGAGTAGTATGGGAAGACTACATGAAGAACCTGTGAAATTTCCTGCAATGCTGAGACAGGAAGACTCATCCTGACATCTGTAAAACAGTGTATATACATCTTTGAGCCTATACGTATGAGTGGACAATGTAGTATCTCTAGATATATGTTCATGTTTTCTGGCATTTCTGAATTGCCATACCATATACTAATAAAAGACAATAATAAAATACACTATGGAAAAATCTGAGATCCTCAAAAATTATGTTGAAAATTAATAGAAATTTTGCTTTTTTCCTCTAACATTTTATAGTTTAGCCAAAGCATATATTTTTGCATATATTAACTGAATTTTCTTAAAATGTTGAAAGACAGAGTTTTATTTTAATGCAGACCCTAGCCTGAATTCTCAGAAGGGAGGACTGTAGTCTAATCGTTGGCAGTCAATTATTGCCTGCCTTGCTTAATGAAGTGCAGAGGTTATTTTGTTGGTTTGGTTTGGTTTTGTTTATTACACATTACATATAGAATAAACGGATGCAACACTAATGCATGGTCAGTGTTTCATTAACCCCCATTTTCGTTCTGAAGACCCCATTGGTATATGAACATCATGACTCCATAGTTACAAAATTGTGCAGTTTGCCAGTTGTATTCAACCCTAAAAGCTGAAGGTAAAAAGAGTTCATTATGCGAAGTCATGATTCTTAAATTTTAAGTCATTAAGTCACAACTTGCACGTACACTTGTAGTGATTGCCTTTCTGTAATTTCAATTGCAATTCATAGAAAGCCAGTTCCGTTTTGGGTGTCTTCCAGCAGTGGTTTACCCAGCTAGAAAAACTGTTCTGCAGTTGTAATGCTATTTTGTTCTATTTTGAATATGGCTTGCAAGAGTTCATTGATTTCAGCTGCTGCAGTGTGTGTGAATCTTGTTCTTATTTGCTAATAATTATGCCTGCTATTATAAATTTGCCATGGTCATTGGAGAAAGATGTAATACTGTTTTCATATCAGAAAAACAAAATGCAGATCTCTAAGAGTGGTTTACACTATGAAAGAGGGACATGATTGGTATTCTTTTTGTTTTTAATCCCAAGATTAAAAAAAACAAAAGATCAAAAAACAAAAGAAAAGAAAAAAGAAACTGAATGAGAATGCAGAATACCACGTCACATAGTCAGAAGCTGTGTTTGTATACACTTTCAGCAGGGATCACAGAGGGTTATAATCACTTACTTTGGCCAAACAATTTTGAAGAAAAAAGTTTTAATCTCTTCTTATATACATTTAAACAATAAAGATTTCTGTTTATGATGGTGAAAGCCAAAACAGATTTCTTACCCAAAAGTCCTTTCTCGGTTTCTTGAAAACTTTCTGGCACTGCACATACAAAATGGCTGTTTTCAGTAATTTTCAGTATCAGCTTAGTGACTGCTCCTCAAGTATGGTATCTTTTGGGAACAGGATCTACTATGAAAATAGCAAAATGGGGTGCCATCACCTCTCCTGTCAGCTGTTGTATTGCTTTTTCAAATGCAAACTCTGAAGAAACTTTGAACAGGACTGAGCCAACGACACATAGCAGATTAATACTGTAACACTAACAGGTAAACTTCAGAGCTTTCATTTGTTCTTCATCCCTTCTGAGTGAGCATTTAGACTACCGTTATTGAATTTTCTTCTAATAAAATCGCTGCTCATAAGAAGCCAGGAGTAAAAATACCAAATTTTAAATCTTTCAGATGTGCAGGATAAGAATCCTGTGATTCCTTCTCTGAAGTGCTTATATTTTCCCTTTTTACACTTTGAATACAAAACAAAGATGAAAAAGCATAGTGTAGCCATGATAATTAGAACTCTGCAGAGTGAATGCATAAGCCATAAGGGGAGGCATCCATTACTTTGGTGGTAGTTTTCCAAAGAAGTACTTGTTGAGTCATTATTTTTATCTGGATCAAAAGTCCAATCCAAGTAGGAATCATGCCATTCTGACAGATGGGCATGAGGTTAACCAGCCAAGAGGCCGTGTACAAGGATTAAATACTTTTGCTGAAGGCATGACTCTTAACTGGAAATGTTGATAGCAGCTGTCTGTATTGAGTTTCCACTTGTATGGTTGAGACGATTTCAAATCTTTCTGATCTTAAATTGAACAACTAAAAATAATTTCAATTACAGAAATTGTGTTTTAGCTTTGTCAAAAAAAAAGTGATTGGAGCTTTGCTTATGCTCTTTATTTATAGGAAAGCGCAAATCAGACTTTGGCTGCTTGCTCAGTATCCTGAATGACTTGGTTGAGGAGTCTTAGGGAACCTAAGCAGTAGAATTTTGCACTGTGCTTGACAGAAAAAAATCATTTGTCTTCTGTTTTGAATGCTTAGTACTATTAGGATACAATTGCATAAATGGAAATCATGTGCCACTCTGTATGTATCCTGGAGGACAGTGTTCTTTTTTTCCTTGGAACAGTAAAAACTTCTTTGTTAAACACTCACAAGTTGAATATACAGAAAGATAAACATGTGCTCTTATAATGCTTACCCATAACTCTGTATGTTTTTATTGACATGGAATACTAGAAAAAGTATAAATTGCTGTAGAACTGAAAAAGTATTGTGAGTTAATAAAGCAGATGTTATCTTAGCATGAGACAGATGTAAAACTCACTAGTGTTTGTCTCATAAAGTATAGCATTTGGTTGAATACAGCTGGTGCCAGGATTACAAATTAATCATGTTTGAATGCATTTTTGCTAATTAGATCCCCCTCTGTGACTACGCTCTCCCCCTTAATAAAGTCCAAATGTTAACATTCCTTCTTTTTTCTTTTTTTTTATGAGCACTTAGAATCAGACGTTTTTTGGTATTAGAAAACTTTTCAGTACTGATGGAGTTGAAACTAGAGCTCGTTCAAAATCCAGCATTCCCATTTTGCTAAGTGTGTGGCTTTTAGTATTTAATGCCACAGTCAGTTTCTTCTGCTGGTATTATAATGATTTGTATGTTGTAGAGCAGCTGGAGACCTTAATTGTGAACTTATATTGAATCAGATGTGTTTTTATCTGTTGATTTTTCTCAGACCAGAACTAATACTGGTTTAGTTTGCCAACAGTTGACTTCAATAAAACACGTTTTGAGATAAGATTCTACGCTGGGCAGTAGAGGAGAGGAACATGATTTTTTATCTAGCTTTATGTTAACTCTGAAATAGTATTAATTCTGTTTGAGCAAAAGAGATGGGACTGTGTAAGAAAGATGAAAGACTTGGGATTTTATGCAAGTTTGCATCAGCCAGAATGACATTCATAAAAATCTCAGAAAACAGTAACAATCTGTTATTGTAATAATGTTCTTTTATAACGAAAGCTGAATTTAAAAGATTATCTTTAGAAATCTTACTTAAATTTCTTAATGACTTGCTTACACCACATACAAGAATCTCACTGGATTTTCAAATCTGGATATAAAACTTAAGTTTTATATCCAGAAATTGTAGTTATATCTAAGATATCTAAGTTAGTTATATAGATAACTACCTTAGATATAGTTATATCTAAGACATCTAAGATATAGTTATATCCAAGTTACTGCTTATGAGAGATGTTTGCTGGAGTGTTTTTCTATAAACTACTTACAAGATCACTAATAATAAAATAATTTTGTGTAAGATGCCTATTACTTCTCTTCAGATTGGTTGTTCATGCAGTCTCTTTTTGTTTAAATGTGGTTGTCCAAGGCTCTCAATTTGTTAAATTTCATTAGGTCTTCACAACTAATGAATTACCAAAAGGAGGTGAATTCCAAAGCAAAGATCCTGTACTGAGAGCAGTTTTCTCTAGGAGAGCTTTCATATTTCACTAGACTCCATCTGCTGCAGTATCAGCCAAGAAAGAGGCATGGTTTGAAGTGTACCTAGTTGAAATAATTTGAACATTTAAAAATTAAAAATAATATTTTTACCTACACCTAAAAACATGTAGAGAATTGCTTTTCCTTTGACCTAAAATTTAAGTATGAGATTGATGAACAGCTGGCTTCCAGCAAGAAACAGTATTTAACAAGTGGGCAGCAGCATACCCTGCCAGCTGAAACCTCGGAGTAGCATGATGCTACAGTCCCAAGTATAGCACACTGCCTTAATTGGCCCTTAAGGTGGCAAAGCCACGGAACACTGGGGGATATCTACATCTAGAAGAAAAGCTTGAATGCACGGGGCAAGCGTATGCAGTTTTAAAGTCCAGCTGTTGGCCACTGCACCCTTCTAAACATTGAATATTACAAATATTATAATAGTAAAAGATCAAAAATGTTTACAGACAGCATATCAGAATCACAAAAGACATGTACATTTCCCCAGTTAACAGAGGAATTGACACCTCAGCCATTTGCCTCTCACCTTAATTTGACCATGCATTTTACCATTATTGAACTCAGTTGCATTGAATGCATGAACCCAAAGATTCAAGCAACTCTATAGGTCCAGTTCCCTGGTGCAGCAGGGATCTGAGTTGAAGGAAGTATCATGTGATCATGAAAAGCAAATGAAAAGTGAATTTACTATTGTACTTTCACTTGCAGGAAGTCGAAAGAGAAATTTCCTTCAGAACTGAATGTGGACTTTATTATTCCTACTACAAACAGATGATTCAGGCTGCTTCCATCCAGCAAGGTATTGTAAACTGTAAAGTAAGTTTTAGTTCATGTTGCCAGCTGACTAGTTTTAATATTTTTTCAAGCATAGTTGAGAACTAGGAATACCATGACTGTGAAAGATTGTATAACAATTGTGCTGGAGACAGATATTCTCTTCATACACCACTAAGTTATGGACACAATAAATTTCACAATGATACATTGGGTTCTGTGCCATATCTTCACATTCTGATGAGGGCGGTCACTTTGACAGACAAATTTAATATCTGTTAACGTTTCAGCCTTGGTGGTTTATTCAGTATATTATTTTTATTCTTCTCTTGTTTAATTTGAATTGTGAGCTATCTGTGGGAAGGGGCTATTTTTGTCTGTATGCCTGGACAGTAAGTGACACAGTAAGCAGCTTTGAAGGATATCATATACAATGACAGGGTTTTCTGTGACAGTCTCATGTTTTCTAGATACTTAACTGTTGCTCCCCAGCAATTTTGTTTACACTACACATTTGTAGTGTATAACATCACCTGTGTTCAAGTTAGCAACAAGAATGGTTCTCAAGATCCAGTATGTACCACAGATTCTATGATAGGAATGTAAGTGTACAAATAAATGGTTTATACATTGCTAAATATATGGTACTTCAATTAGTGCTCTGAGTCACATTCAGAGTAGGGAAGCTGAAGACCTCAGAATGTCATGTTGATTCAGAGGTAATGTGATCTGAATCCTTGACTCAAAGTTTGCGGTTTTTTTATGAGATCCTAAAATACCTTTGAAAACATTATTCACTGTTCAAATGAAGGTGGAGGGGAAAAATGACAATCTCCTATTTCAATTTCTCTTTATCATTAAGGTTTACATGGTTTAGTATATGACAATAAAACTGAATCTGTGAGGACAATTAACATACTTGAAAGAATGAATATTTACCAGGAGGTGTTTCTCAGCATTCTGTATAGGATTCTTCCAATTCAGGTAGGCATTTATTTATGGCTTTAGATTGTAAGTGCATTACGAAGATTACACAGTGAATCATAGCTCCCCTTTTTAGTTATTTTCTAATTAGAAATATTCCTGATACCTTTTTAATTTGTAAAAGCAAAACCTAATTCATATTAAGTATAATTCCCCCATGAGTGTTTTATGTCAACATGACTATTCTTGTGTTTTACAGCAATACCTAGAGCCTGTTTATTTTTATATCTACACTTTGTTTGGACTTCAGGCAGTTTATGTCATTGCTCTGTATGTAACAAGCTGGCTTCTTAGTGGAACATGGCTTTCAGGGTTGTTGGCAGCTTGCTGGTATATTACAAACAGGTAAGTGAGATTAAACATTCAATCTTTCTATATTGTACCTCATGTCAAAGGTAAGGCATTAAATCTTCAAATACATTATTAATTGAAAAAAAAAGGATAACTATATGGCCTCTTCCCAGATTAGCCAGAAAATGAAAAAAACCCCATATTTAAACAATACAAAATAATTAGAAAATAATCACAAATGAGCTGACATTGCAGACTTACATTATAAGTTTCAAGAAGTTTGAGCAGACAATTTTGGCTTAAGTTGGTCTCTTGAAGTGGACTACATCTTTGAGATGTGCCTGGATTTCCAGATAATGTACCCTCTCTTCTCCAGCCTAGGATCCCTTAGATGTTAAAAACAATTGCATATATGCCCTTCAGGTCTCTTCTCATTGCTCCACACCCAACCTCCAGGGATTCATTCAACAACCTAAGATCATTAGAAGTTCAGCTTCTCTGTTCCCTTGTTCCTGCAGACATGTCCCACACTAAGACTCAGAGACAAAAAGATGGTAATTGAGCTGTTCTAGTGCTTTAGCACTTGAAAGAATCTCCATTTGGAGAGAAAAATTAGAGAACTGGCTTTAGGCCAGCAGTAAGCTGCTGGCATGAAGCTGAGACTGGTGACATAGGCTGTTACCTGTAACTTAATCAAGAAAAAAAAGTAAATTGTCAGTTCTGTCCAAACTGCTTGATATGTTAATCAGCAGCTGTGAAGAATTTTATCTACAAGTGTATCCACTGCAGAATAATTATAGCTATATAGCGGTAAAATGTTTTTTTCTCCTAAAATGAAAGTAAGTAAAAAATACATGCAGTGTGCAGTACTTCACATGCTTACTTCATGAGGTCATCTTTTCCATTTACAGAATATTTGGAGCAGATTTGTTTTTCCCATCTTTCTCATAATTCATGAACAACGGAATCTTGTTATCCTTTATGCAAATAGATAAGTACATGGAATTGATTTGGATAAAGACTTTCTATCCAGATGAAGTATATCTGAGGCTACTGAGTAACTCTGGTTCAGCCTTTTTTTTTTTCTCATTCAGCTAAGCAGATTTCAGTTGTGTTGCTTACTTCTCTTGTGAGCAAAGATTTTCTTCACACAAGAAAAAAGGCAATTTTTGTTTTTAACTTTTAATTCAGGTTTTGTAAATGACTGCCCTTTGGGGAACTTTTACCAATTTCCATCACATACTTTTTATGTTAGAACGTTCAAAAAATGACCAGAAGTTATTAACCAGTTTAGCTGTATTCAAATCCAATGCACTGGGATCACAGTGAAGAAATTGGTACCTATTTGTTCTTGGACGTGCTTTTTGCAAACCAAAAACTGAAGTAAAAATACCTGTGGCACAAGAACTCCACATGCTGGACTTTGGGAGTGTTTTTGTGTTGACGTCTGTGCATTTTTAAATTACCCAAGCTGTGCTTTGTAAGATGTAAACCATAGTTTAAATGAAGCTGGAGTACAACTTTCGACAGACAGAAACAATGATGACTTGTAGAACCATCATAATTGTTTCTTCAGAGCCAGGCATGTTGGAAGAACTAGTGTAGAGCCTCTGTTTTTATCATTAAGTAGTTAAAATACTGTCACTGCAACCTCTCTGTCACCAAGTTGGTGTTTTATTTGTTTTAAATTTGTGAAACTCTACTTGTTTTGTACAGAATGGATACTACAAGAGTAGAATTCACCATTCCTTTAAGAGAGAACTGGGCACTGCCATTCTTTGCTGTTCAGATAGCAGCCATCACGTACCTGCTCAGAACTCATTTACAGCCGATTCAAGAAGTGAGTATTCTTACAAATCTCACGGTAAAGTTAGTATCAGAAAACTGCCTGTAAAACTTAGGACAAATTACTTAGTAAGCACTTATAGCAGTAGATATGCACACACACAAATCACTGAAATGTTAATATTAATCAGATGGGCCGTGTGTTAACTTAGATGGAGTTGAAATACAAAGGAATACATATGCTCAGCACTAGAACAAAAATAAATGTAAGCCATAGAGTACAAGACAACAGTACTGTGTATTTAAGAAAACACGAGAGTGACACAAAGTGGGCAGCAGAAAAGGATTAAAGATTTTCTTGTGATTTCATTTGTTTTACAAATTTAGGAGCTTGTCGTGATCTGGAAGAGTAAAAGCAAATTGGTCATACAGTTTCTTATGCAAACAGTTCTTAAGTTATTGCTCCTTAATTTGTTCAACTGCTATTTATAGCATAGTAAAAGACATATTGCGTGTTAATCTGTGGGCTGAAACGATGAGATCTCACAGTCTTCCTGGAAGCGGTAATACAGTGATACAGGCATAAATACAAGAACGTATAACTCAAATAGATGTTCGTTATGCTCCAAGCAAATGTTGTAGTTAGAAAACTCATATTAATGTTTTAAAAACAGATTTAAAGTAAAACCAAATTAAGGTGGGGTTTGGTTGGGTTTTTTGTTGATTGGTTTTGTTTTGTTTTTTAATGAAGGAAACTATAAAGTTAAACAAAACTTCTTTCCCTCCATCCAGAGATTGATGCTTATGGCTGTATTCATAGCAACATTTCTCTTTAGCCTGACCTGGCAATTTAATCAGTTTATGATGCTGATACAAGCATTGGCATTATTTATACTGGACTGCTTTGACATGCTTCCCACAGCAACGGTAAGATATGTTTGGAAATAACAACATTTTTTTCTTTTCTATCACAAAGCTAACTTTTAGAGGTGTTTTACTAACCAGTGGCCTGGGTGCCCAAAGTAATACAAATTATACACTGTGCTGCTTTGTGCTTTTAATTTATCGCAGTGTATATGCTGCACATGTAAAAATTAATAATCAGATCCCCATTTCTGTTTTTTTCCAGTTGATTTTATTTCACTTTGTTATTCACTTCTATTGTTTAATTGTTGTCTGGTTTTGTTTAGACACTATTAAGGAATTGCTTTTAAACATCATCAGAGCAGTTCATCTAATACCACAGCTTTAGCATGTCCTCTGGAAGTGGCCAGGAAAAAAAAAACAATGTATGAATTTTCCCTCAAGTATTGTGCATCTTTGTTGAGAGTTCGGTGTAGGCACTGTATCACAAACAGAAGGAAGAGGACAGACCAGATTGCTCAAGGGAAACAGTTATCTTTTGTACACTGAAATTCATCACACAATAACAACATTGTCGCTGCCATGGAGCTGAACTGAATGAGCCAAAAAGTGAAACAAGTGTTACTAAGAAGGGATCATTTACAGTCAGTCTTAGGAAATATACTATGAAAGATTAAAACATTGTCTTAGAATTTAATGTCACTGAATTTCTACTGAGATTATTTTAGTCCTTGTATAAGCTTACCCTAGCTGAAAAAGGTTCAACTTTAAGGAAGGTTACAGTAGGATGAAGAGTAATTCATGTCAGTTTCATTCTAAATTTGAAGCAGACTTGAATATTAGTGATTGTATTTAACTGAAAGTTAGTATGGCAGCTGCATATAAAAATAAATGTGGATTATTTAGCAGTTTCTAAACTCCTCATTATATCTACAAATGTAAGCAGAAGTTAGCAATTAACTTGACTAATCAGCTACCTTAAAAGTTGACAAATTACCAGCTTCATCGTGAGTTATACTAAAATGGACTTACTGCAGCACTCTCACTCACACCATATTAATTTTCAAAAAAATGCTGCTTAGAACTGTTGGAGTTTGTTGGGCCGTTTGATACCGACTTATACCACTGTTGTATTACAAGACTGAACTCAGGATCTTTTGTGTCAGGCAAAATTTGTGTTTTGGTATCACTGTATCAGAAAATCAGCTGATTTTTAGTGTTTTCATTCACTTTAATATTTGTAAAAGTTTAGCATAGTTCAAAAAGGACTATATGAAACTATTATTAAAAAGTTAGATCAATCAGCTGATGTTTGGTTGCTAAACTGCATTGAACCATAACTCTTTAGTCATAAAGACATTAGAGATGCTACAGAAACAATTTATTGACTAAAGAAAATACAAAGCAGCTTCCAAATATTAAGTAATTAATATTTTCTTCACTCTGCAATTAATTTATCTGCTTTATTATAGCATAAAGCTTCCATAGGTATGAAGTAGGTATAAAATATTAACCTAACCAGTTCAGGACATAAATATATAAAGGATATAATAATGGCTCTAAGTGCAAGATTTAGTGCAAGATGATGCATTTTTTGGTAAAAATAATTGATGTTGAAATAAATTATAAAATATATTCTAAGAAAAGCAGCTATGACTGTAAAGTTTTGTAGGCATAACAATGTCATTATTGTTACAGGTTATGTGGCTGTATGTCATTCAGATGTCTGGATTACTGCTAGTCTGTGTCCTACAGTTCTTTAATTCTATGATTCTTGGATCATTACTTATAAGTTTTAATGCTTCTGTCTTGATAGCAAGAACAATCCAGGTAGGCGTTGAAATACTTTTGTAGTACTAAATAGAGTGTAATATATGTAGATAAATGAGTAATTTATATGCATTATAATCTTAAATTACTCATACTAATTAGAGGAATTACTATAGCATAGAGCAACAAAAACATTGCGTGATCAAATAGTGAATTCAGTTGCACTAACTACAGCATAACCAAGCACATCAGACACCATAATTCTGTGATTGATATTAACGTTTATGATTGTGTAAGCTGCAGTTTTGGATCCTGAAAAAAAATCACATAAACGGACTTTACACGTGTTTCAGTAGGACTTGTCTAGTATTTATGAATCTGCCTCCAACAAAATACTCTGAGAACTAGGCACATGTCAAATTCAGTTTACTGAAATCTATTGTTTCTTTCAAAGATTAGTATTTTTTTCCTATATTTACAGTTCTCTTTTTTCTGATACTGGCATTGACAAAAGCCTCTAACCAGGATATATGGACTTAAAGTCCTGCTGTCTCTCACTCGTGACCTTTTAAAATCGGGACTGTGGTTTTTAGAGTTAGACAATGTCTGAACTGATTTCAAGTTGCCTGTAAGCAGTCAAAAAACCATTCTCAGATGTGGAGCTTTGACCGGGAAAATCGCTCCGAATCCTATCAACTGACAGTTAGAGCCAGAAGACACCTATGCCACATTGGTGCAGAAGGTCTAATGAGCAGATATTTCAAAAGGGACACAATACTATTCAAATTAGGGGAATCTTGAAACACAACCGCAGTTGCACTGGGTGCCAGCAGTTGTAGAAATATTGTGAGGACATCTCTGGAGGAGGGTTGTTGTCTAGTTACAAAACTCTGCAAGACCAATATGCTGGGGCGTTTATAGGATACTGTCCTTTCAGTTTTGTGGGAGAAATATATCTTTATTCTGGATACTTGATTATGTGTACATTTTTGCTTACATGAACCTAATATAAATTTGATCCTGATCAAACCTAGCAGATTTTAAACAGTCTGTGTTGCTTTTGTTCCAAATACATACAAATATACTGAAATACTAATATTTTGTTCCAAATACATACAAAAAAGTACAGAAATAGCAATATTTTCTTCTTTCTAGAAAAACCTAAAAACGGGCGGCTTGCTTAACAGGCTTGGGAAACTTACCCTCCATGTACTATTAGTCTTGTGCTTGACTCTCTTAATAAATAAATTCATCAAGGTAAGCAAATAATTCTAATACAGAAGCCTGCAAAATATATTATGTTACAAGCTATTTGTTAATAATCAGCAGTAATATTAAGTAAAAATTGCAATGAGATTTCAGTGCATTTTAGGGACTGTGTTTTAGAAATGAAAGATCATGTTGCTAATCTTTTTGGCATATAGATTTTAAAACATATTCTTAAAACTTCATAGATTTATCAAACTCACCTGTAATTTTATAACAAGTGTAGCTTTATACTGCATTCTGATACTGCATTCTGATACTGCTGAGCACTTGCAAAGTTTTTAATTGGATTTACTGTTCAGTGAATGCAGTTAAAAATGAGTACTTGTTATAAAAATGTTGTAGGTTGCTTCTAGTGCACAGAGTTATCTACAGACATTAGTAACTAATACTTTTTCTGCTTTTCAGTTTTAGTCTCTTCAAGAGATCTGTATCGAAATATTAAAATTTAGTTCATGTGGAAATTAAAAGCATCACAGTAAGATACAATATTAAAAAATACAGCTAAACCACCTTGTCCTGGATAATCTTTATCTGTAAATAAGAAACTAACCCTAATAGATATTCTAAAAAGTAAGTAGCTTGCCCTTTGGACCGCAGGAGCATAGGTACAAACTGAATGCTTATTTGATTGCAAAGCACCCTATCTCAGTCAGCCTGTGTTCACAGTTTCATTTAAATTATGAGAAAACTGCCTGCTGTGTGAAGCTTATTTTTTTGATACTTAAAATATTATTTCCTTTCTTTTTCCCTCCATTGTAGAAAATTCTTAATCTTGAATCAGATGAACATATATTCAAATTCCTGAAAGCAAAATTTGGATTTGGGGCAACAAGGTACGATTTAGCCGCAGTCTTACTCTATGTTACTTCATTAAGTGAAGCCTGCAGACTGTTGCTTATTTAAAGCCTTGATGATAAATCATGGATTTTTAGCTTAAGTTTATGTCATACATTTTCCTTCATCATAATCTGCACAACTGTGGCTTTATAATTGCTTGGAAAAAAGGAAACTGTGGTCCTTTTTGACATCAAGTTATGAAATACATGATGATGATGATTATTCTCTTTTCTTTAGAGATTTTGATGCTAACCTGTATCTTTGTGAAGAAGCTTTTGGTTTACTACCATTAAATACTTTTTCAAGACTCTCGGATACATTACTTTTTTATGTCTACGTATTTGTTCTATTCCTTATGGCAGTAGCAGCTGTAATTGTTGCCTTTCGGAACCTCAGGTAAAATCTATTTTTAAAACAATTCACATTTTTATAACATTTCCTTTCTTCAACAGGCAGAGGAACTGACAGTTGAATATAGAAGCATACAGTATTACTTTCCACAAGTAGTAAGGAAACAGTAGGACATATAATAGAGAGATCAGGCGAAATAAGTAACATCCTGTGGAAGATAAAAATGTAAAGGATGTAATGACTAAACAAAGAAACTTTCTTCCCTAGATTTCTTCAAGATATTTTGCTTACTGTTGAAGTTTTGCAACGTGTGTAGGGTTGTTTGGTTGGGTTTTTTCAGGAGAGGGGACGCAGGGAAAGGGTGTCTTTATAGAAAAGAATTTTAATTTCTTCAGTTCATCCCATTTTCCCTGTGCAAAGCACTCCCAATCAAATATTTCCCTCATGGTATCCTCAAAACTGCCCAGAGGTGAGCTGGGATAGTCTGTGCTGAGCTTCCTGTGGTCTGTGTGGAGAAGCAGGAGTGGTAGACTGCAACTGTGCTTCACTGCTGCCATAGCTAATTGTAGGATTTTGAGGAATTTACAGAACACTAGAAGAAAAATAGTACTGAACTGCTATTAAAAGTAAACTGTTCATTACAGACCTCTCAGTTTTATGTTTACAACCTGGGAAAAAGTTAGAAGGGATGATATAAAAGTTGGCGAAGCAAAAATTCAAGGACTGTCACATAGCTAGTGCACTTACCATAGTTTTTATGGAAAACAGGATAAAAGAAAGGGGGGGGGGTAGAGGATCTAAGACATTCTGATTCTGAAACTATGTTTTGATAATTGTGAATTCAGTCATCTGTAAGGCATTTTGGTACTATTCAACCAGCCTATTAAAAAAAAATCTTACTGCATCAGTCTGTTTAAAAAACCAACAGAAGACTACAGCCCTTTTTTTCTGTAATCCTAAATGTAATTCCAAACATTACCCTAATTTTTAACACTGCCCAGTTGTTTTTTTTTTAATCAGCCCTCTACATGCATTCACAAGACTGGCCACGTCAAGCAGTAACCAGTCCTTTCAGCAATTCTTTTCTGTAGTCTTACTTTCCATCTACGGCTTTAGTAGCACCCAGATATACCAGCGCAGGCCCACAAAACACAGTTAAGTTCTTAACAGTCATCAAAAGCCTTGTGAACCCTGTGGGAGTAGGTACTTCAAGCAATAAACCAAGCATGCCTTTCTGTAAACAGTTTTATCTCATTCTAAGCTCATTTAAACCCATTGCATTTCTGGAAAACCAGACATGAAAATAAATACCTGATGCTGCATCAAGTTGGTGCTATCAGGCTTATAGATTGTGGACTGACAGCAGTAGTGTTGCTCTAGCATCAGAAGACTTAAATGCTTTTTAAAATACAGACAGCTATATGAAATGTGTTACTGAACTTATTATAACACTTTTCATTTCTTCTGTTTAATTAGTGATTCAAATCAAGTCCAGTTAATGGAAAAAATGGAAGAAAGCACAGTAACACTGAAGCCTGATGCTGCTTACAACTTAATCCACACAATTCTTTTTGGATGTCTGGCATTAAGCACAATGAGGTATATTTTAGATTTTACTACAGGCTTTTTAGACAATTGAGTATATTTTGATAAGAGTGTAAAATATGCTAACCGCAAACTGATAAGATCATGAACCTTCTTTCTCTCTGTGGTGCGTTTCTGCTTGTGTACCGATGCATTTCCCAGAATCCTGCTAAAAAGAATGTTTAGAATTTTGGGAGCAGAGATGTAGACAAGAACACATAGCAAAACACAACGTCAGTCATTTACTTAGTTATTACAGAGTCCTGAAAGTCCAAGAAAACTGTTCAGAATTTCTCATAACTGCTCTCATTAACACAGCTTAGTAGAGCTTCTGGTGTTCAGCAAAAACTTGTCTGTGTTCTTCCAGAATGAAGTATCTCTGGACATCCCACATGTGTGTATTTGCATCTTTTGGCCTGTGCAGTACGGAAGTATGGAAACTCACCCTGAAGTGTTTTCATCTCTACACATCACAGAGGGTTAGCGCTATACTTGCAGCATTTCATGAAATTTGGTTTTGCTCCATATCTAAACCAAATCAAGACTCAGAATTATAAGACATCTGAAATGAATATTGATTGTAGTCCTTTTAAACTGGATATCTCTGAAGTACATATGCATAAATTTAGTACAGAAAATGTATTTTCTAGTGGTTTCTACATTTAACAATTCCATTTGAATACACTAGATGGCAATATAGATGTGGCTATGAAAAATTACCATTTTACTAAAAAAGTCTCCGTCACCATATTAAGTCATCAGCGGTCTGAGAAGACCTTTACAGTCTGTTACACTATGATACAGTGTTTTCCACTTTATAGAAGATAGGATTTATATCTATATATTTAAATCATATTTGTGGTGGGTCTGCAATAAGGGCTTTACTTGAAAACAAAATCAGAATGTGGTCTTAAAAGTTAAACTTAGTAAATTCCACAACATTATAAAATGTTATATATCCATACATTAGAAATTAAGTCTATCCAAATAAACGTATCATCAGAATAAACCTTTTTCTGATTTCTCTTAGACACACGTGATTAAGTATTCTATACCAATAATTACATTGCTGTACATTGCATATAAGGTAAGAATTTTTTTTTTCCTCAATGTTTTGGCATTTTTTAGTTGCATAGAATATGCCTTTTCTCATAAAGGGATGTTGTTTTATAAATAATTATATACAAGATTTGTAGCTGAATTTTAAAAGTTGGGATAGACTGCTTGAAGTACAAGTACTTTATGCATACAAAATAGTACGTAAATGATCAGTTGGGCTCATCTGATCCAAAATAGTTGTTCATAGATACAAATATTTGTCTGGTTGTATATGAAAGTCACCAGGTGTGATTTACATGCATAATTTTATGGAAATGTAACTTGTCTAGTTTAGTTTTAACCAAGTTGCAGATAAGATTGAGATTGTTAAATTGTGTAATGATTCATTGTAGGAGCAGAAATAATCATAGTGCTGTCATAGCAGTGAGGTTTAGAACATTAATTTAATGGGAATACTGTTCTTTTAATCTGTGTTTAGAAAGACAAAAAATTCAGGTACTACTTTGATGGAGAAGTTATTCTGCAATACCTAATGTGAGAGTATTTCCGTTAAATAATTACCTTTAGAGAAACTCAAGGCAAATTTCATTATTAAAGTTAAAATTTAGTAGTAAAGCATAACAGTTAAGAAAGCTGCTAATAGAGTTCACTCTGGATGTCTGGTCCCCCTTTAAAGCAGTAAAATAAAACATCAGAAAAGACTGTAACACTGTTTAGTAAAGTTCCACAGATGTATTCCACTTAAATTTTCTTCTTATTCTGCTAGGAGATTTTTTAGGATTTATTTTTTTTCCATTGGTATGCTGGTTAGGGAAGTAATTCACCATTTTCACAATCTCTCAAAATGATAGAAATAATGCCATTTCTTTTGACATGGGTGATGCCAAGAGCGTGAGATTCTAATAGACAGTCTAATGTGACAGATCAACCAGGATACCTCCCACTCTTTGTGAGCAGATGTGAAGTTCCTGTCAGATTCAGTTCTGAAGTCAACAGAAAGTCACTGATTTTCAGAGGCTTTAGATCAGTCATTAGGTGTGCTCACTCTACCTGAGAAACCTCATTTTTGTATTTCTTCTAAATATGGGTAATAATTTTTATTGACATTAAAAAATACCATTTTTCAAAGTGCTCAGTGGGAATAAAGAAATACATCACCTCTCAGTATTTTTTGTCTTGTCAGTTCTTGCAGTTCAGCTGCCAGAGGAGTGGATATCGTGCACATGTGTGTGTGTTAGTGAAGCCTATCTGACGGACAGATAAAACCTGTCGCCAGATTCCCTGCCAGTGGTCAGAACAAAAATTCCTACAGAGATCCAGAAAGCATCCATTGCTTCTGTGAGAATGTGTTTATAAGTTTTCTCTCTAAAACATTTAGAAACAAACTGACAGTGCAAGTAGGTTTCCATAACAGGGACTACTTATCGTTCGTCTTTCCAGATAAGAATTTATCTGTTCATGCACTGTGACTGCTCAGATTGCATGAGCAACTTTCATATTCACCACAAAATTTAACTGGTCATCATGGCTAGGTTTTTTGAACTAGTAGTAGGGCAATTTTGTATTTCATTACTTATTATGGTTACGTTTGTCAGAAGGCCTATTCTTTAGTGCCATTCCTCAAAATAGGTGTTTTATGGGATTATTAACCTAATCCTGAATAAGCTAATGAAAGCCTCTTTTAAAGCATGTGGTTACTACAGTCCAAAAATATCATTTGAACAAGAATTTATTGAGATACAGATGTGGCTACAATGCTAGCTGTCTTTCAGGTTTCAGGTACAGTGTGTTTTGAGACCTGTAAGACATCTATATTTCTAATTACACAAGCATTCTTCATCAGTATAGTGCAAACATCTTTTAGAAAATGCTGAAGTATTTCCATGCATCCTTTAGCTGTGCTGCAGATAACACATGCGTATAATGCAGTACTAAATTTTATTTATGTTTCACTTCATACTTTTTATTGATAGATTTCAGCTGTATCTGTGTCCATTGCATTTAACTTCAGAACAGAATGATACCCGTAGATTTGTGGGGTTTTATGTCAGTCATTCCTAAATAAATTGTTGGTACTTAAAATTAGTTCCTGAGCTTCAGCAAGTCTATAGTTCCGAGGTTTGCCAGGTAATCTTGATTTTTCTTTGCTAGTAAACTATCTATTTATATAATGTCTCAAACTGCATTTTTATCTTCATCATGGCCAGGCCCTTTTGCTCCAAACACGTGCATTTATTGCAGCACATAGTACAACATATACCAATGATCTGAGCATTCTTCCATTGTACTGAAGAGCTCCCTGTATGTACTGTGTGCATAAATCCTTTAAACCTAAAGTTTGTAAGCTTGGCCGTCTGTAGAAGAAATGACAAAAGAAAATGTCATGTTTATTTCTATTTGTAATATCTAATCCTGTTTCTTTAAGAAGATTCTTAATTTTCATTCTTAGGCCAACAGTAACTATAAATAATGTAGCAGTGCCTGCCTTTCACATAGACTCAAAGGACAAAGAATTAATGCTTATACTTCCTGAACTGAAAATAAGTGTTCTTGTATTTGAGAAGTGCTGAACTCCCATAATCATCAGTGGACTGTTCAGCACCTCCAAGTCTGTGGTTAGCACAATTGCCTAACTCAGGACTTTCTAGCTAGAATGAAGAAGTTAGGTTGGTTGTGGGGGAAAGCTGCAAGCTTTTAAAAATCTCTGCGTTCTTATCATAGGCATAGAGTTAAAAATTGTCGGATGTATATCCTCATTGCAGGTATTTGGGGTTAGTAATTATTAATACATTAAAGCACACTGTAAGCCCAAGGCACACTGGACATTCAATAAGAAACTTTAACATTGTTATAATGGATGAAATCCATGATCATGAGCCAGAGGGATAACATGTGACAGAGAAAGCTGAAATCTTTCTACAATATAGAAAGTTGGGATAATGTTTTCACTGAGAAAAGATTTCATTTTACTCCTAGGAGTTAAAAATTGTCTTACACCTACCAAGGAGCTAAGATGAGGGAGCAAACACCAACATTATTACCTAAATCTCCTAATAACTCAGTTTCTTTCTATAGTCATGTAATCGAGCTCAGAGTTTATTATTTCATTTATTTTTGTAGATTCTAGGACTTAGTGATATTTTTCAATGAGTAATTACATACTTTAGGAAAAATATTCCCCATTATCACTTTAGAGTATGCCATCTTTCTATTTTCTTGGTCTTTTTGGTTTTTATGCAAGTCAGCAGTAACATTTCCTTTACAATTACCATTTCCTATGCAAGTGATTTTTAACTCTCTTTTGAAATTACAAGGCTTTAACATTTTTCCAGTCCAGGACAAAATCCCTGTGTTGCTAATATAAGGCACTTGACAACAGACTTCTTTTCCTGAAGGCTTTGACCTTAGAGACCAGCACGTTACAAGTTGGAAACCTCTTTTACATACATAAATAGTTCTGAACAGTTTGTTACATCCCCCTTTACTAATCTAAAGATCCTGATATGCTCCATCTTTTCTTTTTATCTGTTCCTTGTGTCACGATACACTTTTTCTCAATCTGCCATATACTTGATTTATAAGGTGAAGATGTTATTGGTCCCTATTTTTGTAGGCTTTACTCTTTTTTTTTTTAATTTGTCATTGTTACTCTGTTGTATTTGAAACTTCTGAAGCTCCTCAGTTTTCTCTTGGCTTGACTAAAATGTAATGTTACCTGAAAATTCTGCTTCCTCAGAATTCTCTTACTAAATTCAGTAATAGCAAGCCCCACTACCAAATCTTTCCTCCAGTGCAAACTGCATGTACTCACTCAGAAGTTGCATTAGCATGACATTGTAACTTGAAAAAAAACTGTATAGATTAGTTAGTGCCATATAATAGTCCCAGCATTCAGTAGATAGCACAGTGTCATTAGACTCTCAGTAGATTGCAGGGCAGCTTTGCAACATGATCCAGAAGCAAAGCAGAGCCCATTTCCTTCTGTCTCCAGCCCAAAAGGTTGTGATCTCCCAAAATATTTAGCTACCTAGGGTAATTTAGCAATGAAGAGAGGAACGGCTTCATTTATTTACTAAGCTCTCAAGAGATCTGAAGAGCAGAAATATGCCTATTATATTTTACTGTACTTCCCTAAACGCTAAGGTTGTGATACTGCCACAACTGTCTTTTAGATGTTTCTCAATCTACCAGCCAGTATTATTTTAACAAATACATCAAGTAAAGAGTTAAACTAATGAGTATCTTAACTGGCTCAATTATATTGCCTGCACCCAGTCCTCCTACATAATTACGGTTTTACTGAAAGAATGCACGTTTTTGCTAAGTAGCTCAGCAGCATCACATTCAAATTCTTTCTGAATTCTTGGGTGAATATTATCTAAATTGGATGATTTATGGCTTTTTAGATTATCAGGCAGGTTTTCTTATACTTTTTCCTGTGACATTTCACTTTGTAAGCCAGCAGTCCTTATTATCTAAAGAAAGCAGGTTTGGATTAGATTTCACTGCAACATCCTCTGTAGTAAAGACTGATGCAAAGCAATGTTAGTCATTAGCATTGTCATTATCTTTCTTAATTGCTCCCTTTTGCCCTTGAATATTCACTAGTTTAAACAAGAAACCTTAAATAAATCTTTGTTCTGTAAGCTTTTTTTGGGGAGGAGGTTAAGCTTTTCAGAATAAATTTCAATCCTAATTTCTCTCCTCCAAATTTGATTTATGTATTCTCGGTCTTCAGTAAATTTTGAAATGCTTTCCCCTGATGGTCTATTGGATGTTGCCATCCAGTCACACTTTTCTTTTTTTCTTCAGTGCTTCTCTTGTAATTCAGACATCTGAAATGCTATGAATGGCATCCACAGCATATCCAGTGATTTTGACTTCTGATAGAGAGTCCTGCCTTTTTTAAATTTAATTGTAGGTTGTCTTTCCAAACTTAATTTTAATTCCTGGGACCTTTCCTTCTCCTGTAATCATAGCCATTATTTAATGGCTTGGCTGTTAGGTGTTAATCTGTAACCTGATGCCTCTTTATCTTATTCCTTGTCTTAAAGCTTGATCTCTCCAAGAAATAATTTAACACATTAATGTCCATCCTATAGTCCAGAGAATTGAAAGGGTTTGCTTGTGAAGTAGATACAGTCACATTTGTTGTCAACTTTTAGTTTCCCATCAATTTTAAGATACAAATTGAACTTAACTAAGAGAGTTCTGGAAACTCCAGCGAGTCATGCATCTGAGAAAAGCTGTTCTGAGGCTCACCGCAACAGGTGATTCTGTTCTTCTGGTCACCTGGCAGGAGCTGCAGATCTCCAGCTCTGAAACGCTGTAGTCTTACTGCAATGACAGCCACCTGTCCTTCATGAGAAGGGTAGATATGCTTATGTCTCACAACTTATCCATAAGCTGGACATGATCACTTACCAGCTAAGAGGAAATAATACATTTCAACATCCAGAACTTGTTTTGTTCATTCTGCATTCAGTTTGTTTTATTTTGTTTTCGTTATAGTTCTGGCCAGGAATCATGGATGAACTGTCAGAGCTGAGAGAATTCTATGACCCAGACACTGTGGAGCTGATGAACTGGATTAAGTAAGAGGATTTTTTCTCTATTCAAGTTAAATGCTCTTTGTGTAGATCTAATGTTCTTAGTTATAGTGTTCTCCTTATTTGTCACAGCTCAGTGAACTCTGGTGACCCATGGAGATAGTAAAGGATGAATGGGCTATCAAGAGGTTAGGTATTAACGTATGCAAAGTCTACCAGACTGCTCTGCTCTGGTTCAGTGTCGTGCTGCTGTATTACCTGTGCATCAGGGAACCAGTTGATTCCATTTGTTCCCATAAGCACACACATAAGCTTTCCTAGCCAAAAGAGGCCAATTTGGTGGTGTCAAACTTCTTCTATCATGTTATTGCTATCTCTTTACATTAATAGATCTTTGCAGTGAAATAATTTTGTTTTTATTTCCCCTCCCAACCTGGTATCGTTCTCTTTTCAACTTCATAATTTTAAAAAGCTTGGATGTACAGTTGTAGGGCTGGAAAATCTGTATTCTACCATCTGTTTCTTGAACTTTAAAATAATTTAAATTGTTTACAGTTATCAGAATTAATCCCAATATGTATTCTAAACTGGAAACAAAATATTTGTAATTGAACTTGAACTTGCCACAGCTAAACATAGCTGCAAAGTCTCTCTTTCAGGAGTACGAGTTAATCACATCAACCTCACCTCATAACTTCTGCTTTTGTATAGAGCATAGGAAGGTATTTTTTAGGTGGAAATAGTTTAGAATAGTGCATGTAGAAGATCCTGAGAAAAAGGGCCAGATAGGATGTTCTCTGGAGGACTATGAATTCAAGGGCTATGTTCTCTATTAGCATAAAGTAACCACTAAAATCTTTCAGGTTAAGTTCTGAACAGAGATATTCCTGAGGCTTGTATTTATTTGGAAGTCTGACAAAGATTTTTTTTAAAAAAAAAGTTTCATGCTCTGGAGGAAAATGTTCTGAAAGTAAATCTGAATTTACTACATTTAGCATTGAACTATTTGAAGTATTTCCTTGGAGCGCTGTATTATGTTTTCATATACAATGAACTTCAATGAAACCAGTCGCCCAGCCTATTCTACACATAGCAACATATTTACACTCCATAATGTTGTATTTCTTTAATCCATAAACTAGGAGGAGTAATTTAGAAGTAAAATATATTACAAGCCTTCACTGATTTATTTTGAAAGCAGGCCATGTTTTTTTCCATCATTTAGAATCTTTGTGGCCATATTGACACATTTTTGTGACTAATGTTTACCAGCCAGTTCCATTTAGCACTACTGTTTTATTAAAAGATGGTAAATGTCTGATAGTTCAGGTCTCCTGTGTGCAATATATGGAGTTATATATAGATTTATACATAAAATATGCATGGGGAGTTATTCCCAGCCATGAACTGGATTTGACTGGATCCGATGAGAATAATTTTTCATATGTTCTTAGTGCTGAGAATGCTAAACTGGTGCTTGTCCTCTTTTCATTTTAAATCATGACAGACAATTACAGGGGGAAATTTTCTGCTTAGAATTTATTGTGTTTAGAAATATTATTCCTGTAAAGAAGAGATAATTATCTATGCTTTAAATACAAGTCAACAAAATTTATGGTAAGTTTCTCAAAGTGGGACAGATTTTCTTAAGTTTTGATGTGAAAATATTTTGCTTTACTAACACTTGATAGTTCTGCTAACTGATAGTTAATGATGTGTCAAGGTTGGTGTCAGGAACTAATCATTCATTATTAAAACTCAGTATGAGAAGCTCTAATTTGTCATGTATAGCTGTGAATTAGGAATAACTCATCTGTCTTGCAGTCTCTCCACAACAAGAAAACCCTTCTATCTGCTTACATTTAAATGCATATTAACTTGTCCAAATATACAATCTGAATAATAGCCAACTATTACTCTGTCTACTGTGAAGTGTCTGCAGATGTATTTTTTACTCTTCCCCTTATTAAAATCACCATAACATTTTCAGGAAGATATACTGGTTTATATCTTTACAATAAAGTTACTGCATAGTACTGGACTGCATCTATTGCAGAGTGCAGTTTTTTACATGACAATCTTGCGTATCCCAGTCTCTTGCTTTTTCCTACCCACCACCTCATTTCTTAGCTTTTTTTTAAAAAAAAAGAAGGTCCTGCTAATCACCCAGGGATAGTTCACAGCTGTGTTCCCAGATGGGAGGTACATTAAAATTCTTAGTTTTGGTCTTTCTCCCTAAGACAACAGGAACAACATGCTCATTTGTGAGATGGGGAAGAATATCAGTAGAATGAGCAAATCAATAGCGTGAACTTCCCTACTCTGTTTACTTCTGGTAAGTGTTTAAGAAGCAATGTCTTCTGCCTTTAAAGGGGAAACCTGTCTAGAATTGTGGAGTATTTCGTAAGAAGTTACCAAAAATCATAGAAAAACTTCTTCAAAATCTCAGACATCAGCCAAAACAGTGGAAAAGTTAACTGAGCCTGAGATTTGGCAGAGCATATTTGTTTGTCAACTGTGTTTGAATCAGGTGTGGGGGGCAAGTAGGCAAATTTTTATTAGTGGAAACCCCACAAATTTCCAAAAACCTCCTAAGGTTACAAAAAAGGAATACCCATGTTTCAATGGTGGTTCTTTCATTTAGTAATTTATATGAATGGCTAATTTTAATTTCAAGCCACCTATAAATTTTAACTCTTCACTCTTACATGCCTGCTTTTCAAAGGTAATCACACTGAAATCAACACATATTCCAGACTTTAAAGGCAATATTACACTTTTTTTCTTATTACTGTTCTTAAATTCTTGGGCTTATCCTTTGTCATTGACTCGTTTCTCAGTAAAATTCAGGCATGGATTTGACAGTGCCTGAGAACTAGGTTGATATCAACTGTGTAGGTGCACTCCTTTATGTGAACAAAATATGCATGCATAAAATTGAGGCTGGGACTAACAAAATGCATCTTGTTGCTCTTTCTCTGTGGCTGTCATTTTCCATTTTTGCAATTTTCAGTCTTTCCAAACCAGAGGGAAAAAAAAGAACCATGACAGTTTGACTGAATGTGCTTTACTGCCTATCATTTGCAGCTAAACCTGAAATATTTTAATATAGCATTCTGCAAATAAAAAGACTTTCTTTTAAAGGGAGGGGGGAATCTAACATGCCATATTTGAGAACCCCTTTTCAGAATCTCCTTTTCTCAAACCTCTTTGCTTTGTATCGCACCCAGGCGCTAGTAAAGGAATAATCTGAGATTTGTCAGATTTTATGGCTTTGAAAGCCAACTACAGAGTTCAACTCCAGAGGACTTTTGATGGAAATAGCCATTTTATTCCTAATGATGTAACCTATAATTACAGTGGTGACCATTTCTGTCGGGCCTCCTTTAAACCAACGCACAATAATTCTTTAGCAGCTTAATAAGGAAAGAATTACTACCACTTTTAGAGTCTGTGTAAGATAGACATAGACCTGTAGTTCCTGTAAAACACTTTTATTTTTAATGAGTTATTCTTTAGCATTTACATAGTTCTCTAAATTCTTAAGTGCAGGTAAAGAAAAGCTTCATACAATGTATTCTAGTGCTTAGCTTACCCATTAGTTCAGCTGTAATTAACTTGTTGAAAGCTTAGAGCTTCAAAAATAAATGAGATTATTTGTTCAAAATGCCATCAGGTCTGCTTGAAATGACATTTAAATTATATAATGTAAATCAGTTTGACCTGTAAGTCCTTGTCATTATTTAGTGACATTTCCTACAGAATAAATTGTTTGCAGGTTGGGCAGTGTGGTATGGATCTTGGCAGAAAGCTATAAAAACAAATTACCCTTTCATTTTATACATCATTTGTTCAGACATTTGTAAAAATTGCTTCGTTTTTCTATAGCAGAGAAGTGTCATTCAGTGGTTTGAAGCACTTTAGCTGCCTTGGATACAGAGCACAGCAGTTAGCATCTGACTCAAGTAGGAGTATTAGAGAAAGACGCTTGAATGAAATGTAGAAATCATCCTGTACCTGAAAAATAGGAGTTAGTTGTCCTGTCTCCCTCTGGTGGCTGCTTCAGAAGGTGAATGCTCAGTAACAGCCACCAGCTGAAGTTCTTTAAGATGGAGTTAAGGAGGGCCGACATTGTATGAAGCTCAGCATCACCTCCCAGCTTCCAAGTGTCTGTCCATAGCAGTGAAATCCAGTGCCAGGTTTGTGTTCTTGGCATTGCCAGAAAGGCATGAGGGAAGAGTGCCTCCAACAGCCCTGGTAGGAGCACACGTTGATCTGGGAGCTGTCTGAGCTGGCCCCAGTAAAATACAGACAGTGACATGTCTTAAGGCATGTAATTTTCTAGGACTTCAAACATGTAAATCTGAGTCTCGGGGAAACATCTGCCTTCACCTGGAATACCTGAATTTGAACTCCATCCGGGACCAAGGAACATAAGCCAGTTTTTTGAAAACCAAGCAAGCAAGGGTCACTGAATTGCTTTTAAGGTATAGAAAGAGGAGAAAGAGCTGGTAAAACTCAATACCTGATAAACAAAGAGTGCACTCAACTACATTTCACCCCTTCTGGGCAAGAGTGAAATGCTTTTAGAAAGCAAGGAGAAATTGAACCCTGCATCTTCTACATTTTTAACAAGCACGTTTGCCAGTAAGTCACGGAAAAAGGGCATTGTCACCATTTCCTCTAGCTTGCTTTTGTTAGCAGAGAGGCTACAGGCTGTTTCTTGGGGATGTTTTTGTTTGTTTGCTTGCTTGTTGGCTTTGCTTTTGGTACCTGTGGGGACTTTTTTAAGAAAGTTTGCTTCTGTGAGTTTGCATTATATTGGGCTCTTTAGGAATCAGAGGTGCAGCACTGACATAATAAGGCCAATTCAGGAGATAAGTACTGTAGGGCGTTACAAAATTTGAACTAAGCTTGAACAAATACGAAAACAGACTTTTCACACTAGAAATTTCGCAGCCTAAGCATAAACTCAGAAACATGTTGAAGGTGCTTTGAGGATTATCGTTTTCATTTAGGTATCTAAGCTCTACCAAGTCCCCCTGTGAATCTGGTCCATGTTCTTTTCAGCTTGGTCTAAAGAATCGCGCCTTCCTGCAGTTTCAGGGATGAGTCCTACCTGACAGCCTGTCAGGGCCTTCATATTTGCATAGTATTACTTCTAAGACGAATTAATTTCTTCTAATGAAAGAGTTACTTCATGACACTTGTGGCTTTGAATATTTTAAGTAAAAAATAAATTTTTTAAAGAGATTAAGTATTTTCAGACTTTGAAACGAAACTGGTTTTATAAACGACTGAAGAACTAGTCTATCAGCAAAGTTAAACTGGCCTTTAGAAATACTACCTGCGTCCTTCCTAGGTGAGATTAATGCGACAGTGCAAGAATTTTTAGGAAGGGTTTGTAACTACTAATTCATTTGCTAAGCATTATCTCTTGAAAGGTGATAGTAAAGTTTAGTACTTGTCTCTTTACATTCTTAAGCCGATCATGGAGCGTAAAGAAAACTTAATTCCTAGCTGCAGTTTCAAAAGGCTCCCTAAAGTGCATCCCAAAGTGTCACAGTTATTTGACTACTGTAGGTGCCATATGTGCGTGTGTGTGGGTGTTGGGCAACCATTCACATTCATTTCTAATTTCGTTTTACTTGAGTCCTTACTATGCTTCTTTCTGTTGTTTAGTCTTTATAGTAGTCCCTGTTGCCCAGCATTTTCACTTGTATTTTTTGCTATGCCTTTCTATTGTGTCTTTACATATATTTTAGATTGTAAACTTGTTGGGGAAAGGTGAGCAAAAAACATTTTTTCATTGTGGGTATTTAAACAATCCTGAGATACCAAGACTGTAATTTAGATAATTCTAGACATTGGCTTTGAATTCCAGGTGAGATGATGGTAATAATCAATAGCATTTCTATCTGAGATCTTTGGCATCCTCCCTTCCTTTGTCCCCCTGCCTGCTTTTTGCAACTGAGGTGGCTTTTTTTCTTAATTTCTCTCCCACAATTATCAGAGTAGGAGGATTGATGTCTCATGTGACAAAGTTTTCATTCCAAGTGCATGGTGAATGCCAGGACAGTAAGTTTTAGCATTCAGATTAAATAACCCATTTTATATAGAATAACTTGTATATCACACACAAAATCTAAGTCACAATAAGTTTCTTGAAATACTAAAAGAATTAGGATATAGAAACTTACAAATACTCAGAGGTTGTCTGAAACAAAAAAAAATGAAGTATGAAAGTATTTTGAAGTTTTAAGGATAATGTTTTCCCTAAATTTCCTTGGTGCTTAGTAAATTTTTATTTGCAGTTAGATAGTATTATTGTGATTTATCCACTTCATATTTGAAGAGAACACAGTTTCTTTAACAGTTTGCTCCCTGAACAAAGGAGAGGCAGAAAAATATTTTTTCAGTCTTTTTTTTCCTTCTGATCTGTAAACAAGCAATGCAAAAATGCCCCTGCAGAGACTTCCTCAGACTTATCAACATTTGTTTAGGTCAAACACTCCCAACACAGCAGTGTTTGCTGGGAGCATGCAGCTGTTAGCAGGAGTCAAACTGTGCACTGGACGGACCTTAACTAACCATCCCCATTATGAGGATAAGCATCTGAGAGAGAGGACAAAACAGGTAAGAGAATTCTGGTTGTTTAAGCTCATTCTTATCTCTAGCAGTGGCTCCATTCTGGAAAATACATGTGGTACCCAATGTCACATCGCACATGACATCACGTGCTTCACTCATTCAATTAACTTTTATCCGTTTTCAGATACAGTTCCAGAATTTAACTACTTCTGTGGAACTCGTAGTACTTTGAGCATCTGCTCACTCACTTCTGACAGCTGGTGTACGTCTCAGTAACTGTGCCTGGGTACTCAAGCGACTTCTGAGTGAACTGGTTTGAGTACTGTTGGCATTAACAGATGATGCTGCCCACTTGGGCTGTTAAACCCCCCTCGAGCATTTCCTGATTTGCCTGATACTCCCTTCAGTTCCCAGACTAGCACATAACATTTTATAAAGAAACCACCCTGAGAAACTCAGCACAAAGCTGAGGGGATTGTGTATACTATCCTTTCCTATAATTTAGACATTCTGAAAGTTTTACAGGCATCTATTAAGGCCTTTCTGCAGACAGGAGCACCATCCAGTGTTTCTGTAGTCAGCAGTACAGTGCATCATAGTAGCCACAACATAGAAACTCTAAGTGGCTACTGTATAAAACATTCATTATTTTGTTTTTAATTTAAATACTTCATTCAAATTACATGGATTATTGATCTCACTTCTTTTTCTGGTTTACAATAAAGGAATAACAAAAAAGTCAAACAAAGAAATAGTGGTAATGTGTCTTATAGCTTAGTTTTCTTGTTCTATAGATTTATCAGATCTATGCCAAGAGATCTCCTGAAGATGTTTACAGAATACTGCGATCCTTTGGCACAGACTATGTGATCCTAGAAGACAGCATTTGTTACGAAAGACGACACAGTAGAGGCTGTCGGTTACGTGACCTGCTTGATATAGCTAATGGCCATGTGAGTATTATATACAAGATTTATAAAGAAAATACATTCTGCTTAACTTGGTTTTGAAATACAATTACAATTTCAAGTATTTCCACTTCATCATGAGTGTGGGAAACAAAATCTAACGGAGCCTTTAGACATTATCAAAATTGCCAAATTGAGCACTGCTTGGAAACAAAGGAGGAATTCAGCCTGGGCAAAAGAAGTAATCACTTCCTGATGAGCTTCACGTTAGCGGTACACAATTAGTGTTCCCTTTCAGCATGTAAGTCACTTCAGAGCTTCAATACCCTCCGGACCTGTGGACAGTTGTATTACTTTACCATTTCAGGGGAGTTTGCAAGTAATTCTGGGGCTAACATGGAACCACAGCAGTCCACATAACCCAAAGCAGATGTGTACCTCTGACAAATTAGCTTTATCCTTAATAGAGATGATACTCTAAATCTTACTGTTATATTTTATTCCTCACACTTGTTTCATACAGTCCCTGTGAACAAATCTGGCCAGCCTGCCCCTCTGAATGTATTGTCAAGGTTGTTCTTAGCTTCTTGTTATTGACTGTAACTGTGAATTGGCTAAAGATATTTCACAACTCTGTTCAATTTCATTACAGATCATGGATGGTTTGGGAGAGAATGACCCCGATTTGAAACCTGCATTGTATCCTCGTTTCTGTGAGGAAGTTAAAAAAAACCTGCCTTCTTATACCATACACTTCAGTAGAGTGTTTCAAAACAAAACATTCCATGTTTACAGACTTGCTAAGCAGAAATAACATTTCCAACCATGACTTCACGTTCAGTATTTTAATGCTAGGACCCACATTAGAAAATGCAGAAGTTTACAAACATGTTACACCGGTAAGACATTTTACATTGATGGTTGTTTGTTTAATTACTGTGATTCTTATTTTTTTAGACAGTTTAGTTTTGATAACATTCTTGATGTCGCCAAAATTTTCATAGATTCACAATAAAAATGCTAGCAGGGACCATTTTGATTATAAAGCCTGACCTTCTGAGTACCTAGGGTATAATTGTTTTGCAGGTTTAACTAACTGAAAGACACACAGGATGAGCTGCCTGCATGATCTCTGCACAACAGCTAGCCTAGTTTTGCTCAGCAGTTTGGAGTTTTACTATAAAATGATAAAAATTCAATGAAAGCAGACCACACTACCCCTACACTAAGTATGCGTTATGTTTGTAAATCCTTAAAACAGTCACAAAAAATGGGTTTTGTCTTACAATCTGATCCCCTTTGACAGATCCTTGTGCTCTTTCAGTGCCTCTTTTTTGAATTCTTTGGGAGTGTGTGCGGATATGAGTTTCCAAGGTTGTGAGCGTGACTGCATTATCAGTGAGTGCTGAATCAGCAAACAAGTTTGAAGAGTAAAATTTTAGTCATTGTTCAGCATTTCTAGTGATACAGAAACATACTGTTTTGTAACGTTAAGCATTTAATGACGGAGTGTTATGTATTTCTAATGAGAATAAAGGTTGGAGCATGCCTGATACATGTTGCATGTTTGTATCCTCGTAAAATGCTCGGAACAAACAAAAAAACCAAATTTCTCAGCTTGGATTCTCACAGCACTATTTTTTGTATTTGCTTTCTGAACTACAGGGGATCCTTTTTCTCCCCATGCGAATTTCAGGAGTAGGATACCAAAACTGAGCACTGCCTACCTTACAAAAGAAAAATTAATCTCTAAATTCGGCTGGAAATTTAGGTATTTAAAATATGTTCAGGTATTGGAGCTTTGCTTTACTTATTTCAGACACAAAGCTATATATTTTAGCACAAAATCATTGCATCCTTGCTCTTTATCCGAAGAAACAGGCTACCGTTATTTTAAATTGACTTGGAAGATGAAGTGAAGACAGGCCCCAGTCCTGAGAATTTTGTGATTTGTTTGTACCCTCTGTCTTTTTACCGGCTAGGACTCTGTGAGATGTATTGACTTTCTCAATGCTATGTAGATAACACCTGACTTCTGCTGTGTTTTAGTGCTGCTTTGGTTTTATATTGAAATTAGAGATTAAGTCTCATTGAAAGCCTAACAGTACTCTCCAACTTTAATTAGACATCCACTAGGATCATTTGTTTCTTATGAAAAACAGAATTGTAATAATCAAGTGCCTCTAGGCCAATGTTGAATTAACATTTGAACACCTATAAGAGTGTTTGTGGCCTGTGCAAATAGCTCAGTTATAATAATTACCACTGCAATTAATTTCAGATGATGGGAAACTTAAAGTGCTACTGAGAGCAAACTCCACATTTAATTTAATCAAGATGTGTAATGAGATTAGCTTTCACAACTGAGCTGTGTTCCAATTCCAAATGATTTAAATGTTTTCCCTTTTCAGTTGTACTAGGGTAAATTACTGAAGAGATAGAGATGGTTATGTCACATGCTCAAACAATTTTATATTCAGTAAACACTCATTAAACAATGTTCAACATCTTTTTTTGTACTTTCCTGCTAACACAAAAGGAAAGTGTGCTTTAATCAAACTGCATTTAAATCAAACATTGACAGTACCTAGGCTGTTAAACTGAGCAACTGAAACTCCTGAGTAATTTCTAGCCTGTATCCCTTAATGAGGTTGGAGACCACTGCAGTTTAACATAATACAATAATAAAACATTTTAATCAGTATTAAAACTTTAATTAGGCCCGTAATGATGCATGCCTGTTCTTGCTGAAAGCATGGGTCAGTGAATTCCTCAGTGAGTGCCTTACAGTAATTGAAAACAAGCACACGTAAGGTGCACGTCTAGGCTGTATTGTCTTATTTTAAAGTGTGGTTGTATCTTCCTTTAAAGGTGCAGTAGTTTTCCTCTGGTTGAGGTGAGGGATGCCAGGACTCAGTGGTACCCTGTCATTTTTAGACTTTACTTGAAGGTAACAGCTGAGACTAAGAAGCCCTGACTGTAACAGTAGTTATCTTTGAATAGACTCTTTTCAAAAACACAGTCTCTAATGTTGCCAAAAGATAAACTTAACCTTTTTGTAGAAACTACCAAGTGCAAATTTGTTTTGTTTTTAAAACAAAATAGAACCCAAGCCACCACAGGTCTTGGGAAAGCATAAAAACCAATGGCTGTCATGATCCAGAACTAGAACAGTAACAGTTTCTCCTTGAAACACAAACAAGTAGCACACCAGAAATTTGAAGTATTAGATGCAAAGTATTTTGGAGACTGTTTCATCCTCTTTAAAGCATAGGTAGCTTGTGGTGCTTCTAAGCAATTCCAACAGGTCCTTCATCAGAGAGATTTCACACTAAAGGCAAGGGCACACTTCATTGACTGTGTAATACAACATTCAGAAGACCAGTCTCCTTAAAACAGTGAAACAGCAAATGCCGAGGAACAAAACCACTTACCAGCTCAGAGGAAAGCAACACACCCATCAACACAGCACTGGGAGAAAGGGAGCAGCTGCTTCTCCAACCTGGATTTGAAGGCCTGCCCACCTGAGCAGAGCGGGCTGGGCAGGGCTGGCTCAGGTGTGGGGCTGTGGGCACACAGGGCTCCGGTTCCCGTTCCTGGGGTATAGGAGTCTGTGATGTCTAGGAGGTAGGTGGTGTTTTAGTTGTCTGCTAATTATTTTCTCTACTTGCCATGTCTTGCCATGGTCTCTATTCACTGCATTAAAAGTATGCAATTTAAAAAAAAAAAGAAATAACCTCACCTGTTCCTGAACTCCATCATCCCAATGCACCTTATTGCCAAGTGGTCAGCGTCACTGTTTCATGGTGTTAAACACGATCCAGCCCAGGGACAGCCCTCGTGGCCATGCATTCCCTGAAATCTTACAAAAAACTCAGCACCATCGTGACCTCGTGTGTGTGTTACCTGTTGCCCACAGGGACTTTTAAGCTGCGCGTTATCAGTGGCGTGAATGACTTTTTTAGATCACAGAGACAAAATCTGGTCAAGTAGCTGGAGTGTTTTTAGGGGAGAAAAGCCTTTGAGATCCATTCGTGTATTTTCATTTCTTGTTTCAATGTTCTGCTGGTGAGATCTAACATAGTTATTTTATAATATGTTGTTGCAAAGAGGTGTAATGACTATTGTATACTAAATAAACTGTGCAATTTGAAAAATCACCTTTTTGGTTGGTTTTATGTTGGGATGGATTGAGAAAGGTGCAGTTAGAGGAGCAGCTCTGTCTCAGTCCATATGGAGGAAAGCAGAATGTTTCAGGAGGAGTTCTGACTTTTCTCAGGCTTGTTCCGTTGCGTGTGTCACTGACTTTGTGAATTATCTTTGTGTTTTAGCAGCTGCTGGACTGCCTTTCTCCATTACAAGTTAAAGGTGCCTCAGCCGTGATTTTTGCCTGTCATTACCCAGTACACTTTAACTTTAGCGAGGTCAGTAGACTGAGGTAGTTACTCCAGTTAAGTAAATATAATTTGCTTTGACAAATAGGGATTTGCTCATTTTAACATTGTAGCTCAAGCTGTGGTATTCTTACATGTTGAAAAGAAACGTTTTCTGCGGGAAAGACAAATTACCCGCATTAAGTGTTTCATCTGAATTAGAAAGTCCTGGTACTGGTAAGCTGTTACAAATCTGGGTGTGCTTGCAGCGAGAAGGGCGAAGTGAGATGTGCAGAGCTGTGCATATGCCTGTCCAGCATGGCTTGTTCTCAGCTGTGGTGCCTGAGTGCAGTCATAGCCTCACAGGTGGTGTACTGCTCTTAAAGTGAGGTTTTTGGGAAGTCTTGTCACCGTTAATTTTGTCTCTGTTAATTAGGTACAGACAGGACTTCTGTAAGATTTAATTAATGGTATTAAATTAACATGGTATGCTTGTAGAGAGGGGATTCTGGGTTCCAGAGAACCAGGTTTCTCAACATCTCATTCCTCAACAGTTACCAGTTGTGGGGTGCAATCTATTTATTTAAATCCCCAAGAAATGGCCATGGTTTTTAGCATTTCTATAATTAAGAAAATGCTCAACTTCCATGTTCCTAATCCTGCTCCTTCTGCAGCCACGATTTCCCTTCTAAGCCAGTAGGTCAGCCCTAAGGACAATCAGCTTTCATAGGCCTTGGCTACGCGTTTTATACTTGGAACATTATTTTAAAAGGAGAAAACCACAAAGATTAATGTAGTTGGCAGGCAGACAGATTAAATACTAATATCCACATGACTATTTAAATTTCAGACCTTTACGAATATCTTATACTAAATAAAATGTTCTTACTACATGGTTAAAGTCTGTAAAGAACATGGAAGAAGATTAATAAAAGTACCAGATTACTGAAAATCCCACTACCTAGGGACCCAGTGATTTTTTTTTTTATTCAATTTTTTTCTTCCCTCCACCCATTGCAAAGCTTCCTGTTGTCAAGCCAGCTGTCCCTGTTCTTGAGCCCTGTCAGTGCTATACCGTGATAAGCTTTTTTGTAGAGGTACCGAAATACTTGTATGTGTCCATATAAATGTGGAACAAGTGAAGATACGATTCCAGAAATTGCATGGTAATTAGAAAAGCAGCATGCGAATTAAAACAGATAAATTAAGTGAACTAATTAGTAATCCCTAGGAAGAGGAAAGGCAGGTTTTACTAGAGTGTGACAGCTGCAAATGAGTATGTCTTATTACTGAGAGTGTAGCTAGACAAGTTCCTATAGCAGTTTTAAAATATTTCCTGACCTTTTGTTTATTGAGTAAAATGTATTACTAACTGCAATTACACAAGCAGCTCTGAGGTTGGGGTGGTTGCTGTTACGTATATTAGTTTACAAATTAGTGCCATAGCTGTAACAGGGGAAGCAGCAGTAGTGGAGCAGCAGCTTCAGGTTGGCTTTCAAATTGCCTGTCTGGAGTGGTACAGCGTTGTTTGAGTGGAGGCAGCTCAACCTCAACACCTAAAGTCCCAGAACAGGGAAGAAGCACAACTTGAGCAGTTCTATT